TGGAAAATATGCAACCACGGGTTGGGACAAACTGTTGGCGATAGTCGGCGTGCAACCGAGGGTGGCAAGGGCCTGTCTCAAGTGGTTCAACTCGGAACATGGGTACACAGACGCAGAACGTGGGTTACTGAAACATGTATTTAAAGGGGTACCACAGAAAGCATGTGAAGAATACTTTGTCAGTCTGAGTGACACTAGGTGTTGTCCCAAACGTGTGGTGTAGCAGTTGCACCTATATATCCCCCCATGTCGCTTAGTGATGAGAAACACATACGTTATTTGTGGAAGAATGTGAATCATTGTTGTTAAGGTGGATATTTCAATGACGGAGAGTTGTGGTTGTAATGGCCAACATAAGAAGCTCACTTGTCCCCCGGGTAACCTGAAAGAATGTATTGATTGGATTCTAAGGGTAACGAATAAGGATAATGGGCGGAATGGTGGTAAGAGTGGGAATGGTGGTGAGAAGCTTGGAAAGGAGGTTGGGGAGTTACTTGAAGGAGCTAATCAATACCTGGAAAGGTTAACTAATGATGCTCGAGGCGATGCCACTGACAAACTCAAAAAGGATCAACAAGTGCTTCAAGCAGTAAAACAACAGTTGAATGATGGTCCTTCTAATTTGATCACTGCATTGGCCGATAAGTTGAAGAACTTCCTTGGTGGTATTAAGAATGGCAATGGTGGTGCTACCAATAAGTACACCTCTTCTTACGATAATGTTTCCGCCGAAAATGAACAACAACAACTTTGCGGTCTCATCTTCCTCGGCGCGCTCCCCCTAATGTTTTCTGGTTTATCGTATTTGTATTGGCGGTGTAATAAAGGTAATCGTGATGGTGCTACTGCTGGTGAACGTTGGACCAATGCAACTAAAATTACTAATACCAATGCAGGTATCGGCGTCTATTTCGCCTGTTGTGGTTATAACACTAGTCATCTCAATGACACTAAGAATGCTGGCGAAATCAAAAATTTACTTGGTACCAATTGTTTCAAAGAAGAATTCAACAACGGTGCCACTGCCAACGTCCAAGATGACTACTCGAAATACATCAACGGTGTACTAACCAACACCAATGCCACAGAATACCCCCTCTCCAGCCTCTACCTCGCATCACAATACTATTTCCAATATAAATTCAACAATGGCACCCATGTCCCAACCACCATCAGGGAAATGCTCTACTGGCTCATGGCGCTGCCCTACAGTGCGTGTTTCCAGCTAGCACCTGCAACTATTCGACAGGGTATCCATCACCACAATAGTAGTGGTAGTGGTGGTACGAAGGAGGTAATTGAATTCCACATTAGTTATAACACTGACATCACTTTAGACAGTGACACTGACCCTTTCGATTGTTATCTGTCAACCACTTGTCATTACGCCGGGGTGGTACTATGCACAATACAAGGTACACTAATAACCAATGGTATGACTAAAACTGTCAATAAGAAACTAACGCTTGCTGACATCTACTCGAATGATGCTTTCAACTTTAATTATCCCACTACAGCTAATGCCCTATTCCCCGTTCTATGGGATATAATTTACTGTTTATTGTTTCAATTATATTTCCTTAAATCGCAATGTAGAACATGTTTCGGCGCCGGTCGTGGTTGGCGGTGGTGCAAATATGGTAAGGAGATCAAGGATGATGGCTGTTCATCTTGGATTTGCACAGTACAGACTATTAATGAGCATGCTAACAATCGCTGCAATTACGCTTTCAATTGCAAACCTGATAACCACACCAAATGCGGCCAATCCGACAATCCCTCCCCCCTACAAGCTTGTCTAAAAGATAAACTTTTGAGTTTTCAATGTGCCAATGATAACACAAAGTTAGCTTACACCGACCATGTTTCCCATCGCAATTTCAATCAATATTGCTTCGTTCCAATGGGATTCAACAAAGACTGTCTATCACAGTCACATCGCACGGGTCACTATATCGAGGGGATACTAGATTACTTCACCCAAAGTGATCGTGACTCCGTCAGTCTCTACAACATAATCATATGTCTAATCTGCTGCAGCCTGCGCACCCCCCGTACAGTCGGTGACCTTTTCTGTTTTTTCTTGCGTATTGGTGAGAATATGCAAAATGGTGATCTCGCTACTGCCATTGAAAATGAATCTAAGAATATATCATGGAAATGTAAAGATGCCAGTTCCATCACTGACGCTGTTAAAACCCTAGCTGGCGAAGAACATACCGATGAGTCTGACGAAGCCGGTGAACACAGCGACAACAAACCCACCCTCCACAGCCTCTACGACAGCACTTGCGGTAGTAACGTAACCTGCGGTTCCTATCTCGAACCACTTTCTAACGTTATCTATTGTAATATCTCTGAAATTTTCGCTGGAACGTACATACAAGGAATTGTCTACCTAACGGATGTTTTCGAAAAAGGTCTGCGCGACTTACTAGCGAGATTCACAGAACTCAAATGTGAGCATGATAAACACACGTTATGCCCCGCCGGTTGTCATGGCAACGGAAACAACTGCCAATGTCCCACCATCGTCCAATGCGGTGACGTCCTACCCCTTTTCTTCAAATTCGGCTTCGTATACTACGATCACCATGCATTGAATGAAACAGGTGGCAACGGACGTAAATGCTCCGCATTCGCCAACCAACTACAAAATGTCATCGACAAAGCATTCTCCAACCTCCTCTCCTCTATAAACATCTTTCTCTATCACATCCGACAACCCTTCCTCCTGTACCTCCTCACCTTCTACCTACTCGCCATCATCTACCTAACATACTCACTAACAATACCACTCGACGTTCTACACCTACGGTCACACCTACGTACTGCCGTGCTATCACCACTAGTGCTACTCACCAACTACACACAACCACATGACATCACATACTTCAAACCGTAATCTAATACTAACTCCACTACGACCATCCATCAACCACAGATAAACTCCTCTCTGTCATCAACAAATTCCTCCTTTGCATCCGCCAACCCTTCCTCCTGTACCTCCTCTCCTTCT